ATAATTTTTCTTTAATCGTGATACTTGCCTTAATTATAATCCTCCAAGTTGGAAACAATAAAACTATTTAATTTAAACACAAAATAGGGTAATAAATAGCAGGCTTTTTTTTTATAAATTTAAGGTGTTTATTTTTAAAAAAGGCAAGGAAACAAAGCAGATAATGGTTTATTAAGCAATAAAATTTCTAATAATTTTTCCTGATTCTGATACTTGCCTTAACAATAATTCTTCAAGGTGGAAACAATAAAACTATTTAATTTAAACGATGTAAAGATATGGTAACAAGTAGCAGTCTTTTTACATAAAGATAAAGTGTTTATTTTTTAAAAATGACAAGGAAACAAAACAGATAATGGTTTATTAAGCAATAAAATTTCTAATAATTTTTCTTTGATCGTGATACTTGTCTTAACTATAATCCTCCAAAGTGGTAACAATAAAACTATCAAATTTAAACGATGTAAAAATATGGTAACAAGTAGTATTCTTTTTTTTCATAAAGATAAGGTGTTTATTTTTTAAAAAAGGCAAGGAAACAAAACAGATAATGGTTTATTAAGCAATAAAATTTCGATTTTTTTATCTTGATACTTGCCTTAACAATAATTCTTCAAGGTGGAAACAATAAAACTATTTAATTTGAACGATGTAAAACTAGGGTAAGTCATTGTCAGTCGAGACGTCCGGTGGTTTGTGATATCGTGTCCTTCAGAAGTCGGTGTACTGACAAAAACCGTTTGTGAGCCCATATTTATTAATAGTATGCTAAGTTACATCCGTTCATTTTTTTCCTGGCTGGCGAGACTATCGTTAAAATGAAAAATGAATTCATTTGTCGAATTTAATTTTTTCAGCTGGGCTAATTTTTGAAATAAACCGTCGGCGATGAAGTTTGAGTTTTTATTTCACATTTTTAAAATAAACAACTGGGCACGTAGCTGGTCTTCATTTTAGAATATTTGTAAGCTTGTAAGCTTTTTTACTGTAATTTCAAGTAGCATGTGGGCTCATCCAGTCGATGAGAGAGACACGATGTTAATAAAATAAACTGTGCCATCTGTCTTAATCTAAAGGCCGTCGCGCGGTTAAAGAAGGGGCAGACAGACAGTCGTAGGGGAGTCTATAAGTGAAATATATCGCTTTTCCTTTAATTTTCGCTTAAATTTGTCTCCGTCTAAAAACTGGACCAAGGAGGTCATCCAAGACAATATCGGATGTGAAAATTAACCCTTTTTTGAAAGCTCATTTCTTGTGGCTTCAGACATAAGAGAATAGACTTTATATTATAATATATTATTTATTTACATTACGTACACATTGTTATTCTACATGTCAAATCGGACAAAATTGTCCTATTGTCCATAGTCCGTATCTCTCATTTCTATCTGATTTATTTCACTTTTCGAGTTACTTTAAACTATCACAACTTTTTCCTATAAAGCCTCGGTATGTCATAAAATGTTAATCCTACTTATTAATTGTAATATATTAATTGGTCAAGCGGACCACGAAACTAGTGAATTGAAGAAGTTAATCCTACTGTAAATTTGATTACATAAGCTTAGAAAGGCATTAAAAATTCTATAAGATTGATATTTTTACTGCAACATTAAGCAAACAAAGTACCAAGTTAGTTAGAACATAAATTATGACAATTTTTCGAAGTTCTCGTTTAAAGTTTAAGCAAGATTTTTTGGTTCTGAAAATACTGACAGATAAGGCGCTTACAGAAAAGTCATCCCCACTAATGTCCTTTAAACACATATACTTTATTTACCATAGGTCAGTTATAACCAGAATAAAATTAACGTTTAGTTGCTAAAAGTTTGATTTTCTGTCACAAATAGTTTAAAAAAGAGATTAAGTTGTTGAAACTTCTATTAGTAAATAATGAAATATTATAAAATAAAGAGAAATTACTCTTTGGTACAAAATTGATCATCAGAAAAATCAACAAGCTAAGATTTAACCCGATTGACTTCTACACATTGGAAACTTATAAAAATTTAGGCTATTTTTTTGGAAATAATTTTTTTAGGACTTTTTTATTTTCAATTTTGTACCAAAGAGACTTTTTAATTTACTCTGTATAATTTTCATTATTTTGTAATCGATGATTCGACATAATAATACGTTTTTTAAACCATTTGTTAAACAAAATTTTTTTACAATTCAACATTACTTTTACATTTAATTAGGTTTCGTGGTCCGCTTGGCCAAATAAATTCTTTTCAATTAATTAAAATTTTGGTTGAGATAAAAAAAGGAAGGAATTGAAAAATGGCAAAAAGGAAGGAAAATTCAAAAGGTAGGTTGAGATGGGAAGTTAGTGTCCGAATGGAACGAAGTCACGACAGCCCAAGTGGTAGAGCAGCTATTTAGCCGAAGGTCGTGGGTTCGAATCCCGCTTGTGAGACTGACTTTTTTTATCTCAACCAAAACATTAATTAATTGAATTGAATTTTACACTAGTGAAAACTTACCATTGAGAAAGTAAGTATGTGTTTTTAAAGATCTAGGGGTAATTTTTCTGTAAGCGCTGTACAGGACACTGTTGTATTTACAGAGGAAAGAAACATTTACTTAAACTTTGGACAAAAACTTTTTGTACTTTACTTACTTTTTTTTGGAAAAGAAAAACTAATGAATTTTATAGTCGTTAGTCTTACAGCGCATTAGTAGTTTTTAATGCTCTTTCCACTGATGTAATAAAACTTAGCGTAGGAAAAATATTTTATAGGGCTTTATGGGAAAAAGTTGTTAAAGGTTGAAGTAACAAGAAATGTGTTCTCAAATATAATTGATAATCCGACAATGGACAATGGGAAAATTAGTCCCATTTGACATTTACAATCGCCCTCCGACGTATTGAAGTCTGTTCGCGGGACACCCTGTATATTGTACCTTATATATACCTATATCTATAAATATTATCGTCTATGTACGTCTATATATAATTAATAGTTATGATTTAATAAGATACATTCAAAAATAAAAAAGCGAACACTCGTATTATTTTTTTAAAAATCATGTCTATGTAGTGATAGATTAAAATTTAATTAACAATTTTTTTTACCTAGTATTGCTCTAAAAGCGTTACGATTAACAGAAAAATCAGGTAATAAATTTAAATTTTTTATTAAATTTTTTAATTTAAATAAAAAATCATTGAGTGTATACATTACTATAAAAACATATTTAATATAATTATTTTTAAAGGGTAATACAAAATAATATATACTAAAGAAAGTGGTTTGTCTTACTGTAATTCTTGTACTTTTTTAAAAATTGCGTCATTAATATTTTTGAAGGTTAATTAGTCATTGATATTGAATAAATCAAGGATTAAAAACATTATTGCTGAGAAAAGATATTTCATCGCATACTCTGACATATTATTTTCTATATCCGTACATTGAAAGTTATTATTATTTTGGAAGTCTATTAAAACATTTCATGTATGTTTTTTATTTAATGTCTACTCAGTTAGGCCTAATTTTACTTTTGATATGATTTTAGCACTTAGCCTGGGCAATGGAAATACATAGGCGTTAAACAATCGATAAATCTCGTCTTTCTTGACGATTTTAAGGTTTTATTATGAGTGCAACATTTTACAATTAACCCTGGATATAAAAATAAATTAAAAACGAAGGAAGAGAAAGAAAAGAAATTCTATGTATCTATTTGTAACGATGTTCAGAGCAGAAAGAATCCAATGGACTTTTCTATGTTGAACAAAGGACTTGATTAGCGTAATTGTGAGCTTGAAGTTAAGCCTTTAGCGATTCGGGCGATTTTTTAACGGAAATTGAGCGCATTTTTTTTAAAGGTGAGCTTTTGAAGGGCCCATCAATGCCCCAAATATCTTATCTCGCAAATTAGGACAGTGGTGATAAGGTAGTGTGCCATTAAGCAAAAAAATTGTAAACACACTTGAAAAATCAGATTCTTTTTTGTTTGTCGGTACGAATCCCACGTGAAATCAGTTTTGAATTAAGCCCGCAGCTCGGCTTAAATCATTAAGTCTGAAAGAAGTCTAGCGTTTGGCCTTGGTAACGGTAGAACGAGTAAAAACGAAAAAAAGTTTCGCCGATTGCTTTTCAGAGGAAATTCATATTCTGCGCCGGAGTTTCCGAGGCCCGATTAAATTGACAATTTTGATAAATTAAAAAAACTACCTAAGTTATTTATGGTTTGCATGTAAGTCCGTACAATGTGTTGGACATTTACAACGGTTTTTTACGTATATGTACCCAATTTTTGAAGGACACTCGTGAAGTATTGACGTAAGTTCGCGGGACAACCAGAATACTGAACCTTATTTATACCTATATCTATAAAAACATACTCTATAGAAAATTAATCTTAACTTCTTAATTATAATTTCAATTAATGCAAATCATCTGTTAACATCATCATATATTCTTGCGTCATACATTTATACTCCAAGTTACTTCACAGTATAAAAGTTATTGCCAGAAAAAATATTTTAAAATCCAACATTCAAAAGGTTTTTTAAACCGAATTATAGCTTACATACACTTATTATTACGTCATAGATACAATACTGTTTTTTTATTACACATACTTTACATTTTGACTTGGCTATCGTTTTATGGGTGTTTTAGAAATCAAGGTCTAAATGTTTCCATTTAATCCAAAACCAGCCAGTGGCGAGGCAGTTGAATATGCATGCATTTCGTTTGTAAATTGTTCAAAATTAAATTTAAAATTACGAAATATTTTGATTAAGAAAAGCTCTTCCAGAGTACCTTGTTTTATAAATTTAATTGTAAAAATTCTATTTTTCCTCAATATGATTGTATTAAATAAACATGATCAGGCTATAAAATGTGTTTTATTTATACCTTCGTCTTTCTTTTATTTTATTTTAATTTATACCAATATTTATTACTTTAACCAATGCTATACTTTAAGTTTATTTAAAAACCTACAATTTATTAATTTAATTTATCATTTTGTATATGTTGTAGGTGTGGGAGTTGAAAACGAAGACAATGACATTCCTGAAAAGTCTTTGAATCGTTCTGAAATCGAGTGTCAAAACTAATGAAGCAAAACGGAGGTAATTTCGACTTTCTTTTTGTCTCAAATTTCAAACATTTTCAATCTCGGATTGCTGTTATATTTGTATTATTCCCTTTTATTTTAATTTTCTTCAAAGAATGTTTGAGAGAAGCGTAACGACGTTGAATGTTCAGTTTGTAATTGAATTGTAATTGAAATAAAAGCCGTTTTTTAAAAATAGGATCGACTGTTTGTTTTTTTATAAGAGTTTAGACTGACGATGATTTATCATGAGTAAAAGTATGTTAAAGTACACTAAGTCACAGGCCCTGATCGATACAAGTTCGTGCACTATGACCATTAGACTTGAGGGTGAAGAGAAAAATCCTCACTTCTAAAGAAAAGAATGTTTTTTCTTTTTCGAAAGTAAATTTTACTAAATTCAATTCTTTCTTCTTAGTAAACGGAATTTTTTCATCTAAAACTTTATTAGGTTCTTCAAAAAAAAAAAATTATCTACAAAAATTGATTATATTTCACTCCTAGTGAAGCCAGATCAGGTCCTTTCTACCTGTTTTATACTGGACTATTTTTATGAATTGAATTTGATTCTTATTATTTGCTATCTGTTGTGAGATTCATCAATAATTCTATATATAGTAATCCAATATAATTCATCATTCTAATATGTACGTTTCATTTTATCCAGAGCTAAAACAGACAAATGGTACTTTTTTTGGATTTAGAATTAAATAGTTCGTTAATAATTTTTCTCTAGACTTAGTTTGAGAGCAAAAATGTTAAGTAAATATTTTAATAAAAAACTTTTTTGACCTTGCTGTTTGTAAAATTAGTTCATTAAAAAATTGACTTAATAATTAATTGCAAAACCAGAAGCCACTGATTTTCTTTTCTTCCCATGTTTTGGTAACACTGTGGGAAACACTGATTGCAGATAATGAGGTTACTTAGTTTAGTGCGTTTACGTTTTCGAAGCGCGTTTTTTTAACAACATTTATTTATAAAAAATACAGTAACGTGGATCGTATGATATGAACAAGCGTGGTGTTTCTCATTTAAAAAAATCGGCTTTTATAGTTATTATTTTGAATTTAAAAAAATTAACTCACTTCGAAAAACTGAGATACGTATATTCAAAGTGGACACGTTTTTCCCTCTATCCCAAATTTGGGTAACACTGTAGGCAACACTGATTCCGTGAAATAAGGTTGTTTATTTTAGTGAGGATTACATTGCACGTTAGAGTTTTTTAAAGTGCCAAATAATTGCAATAAAAATCTATTTACAATTTGGTCATAGGCGATCTTCTTCAGGTTATACTTTAATAAAATTTATAGATAATTAATAAAAATATACTGTACATTGAATCGTATGGTATGAACCGAACCAAAATTTTCATATTCGTTCATTTACATTCTAAAAAAACACTTTAGAAAACTGGGAGATGTTCAACAGTTGGGACTGTCCCCCCCCCCCCGGTCACCATGATTGGGTAACTCTGTGGGCAACAGTGGTTCAGGGACGTGAGTTTGTTTACTTTAGTGCGTGGACGTTTTTCGTAGCGCGTTAGTGTTTTTGGAATAGCCCAATAACTACAATAATAGCCTATTTATAATTTGGTTATATCCGTTCTTCTTCTTCAGGTTACGTTGCAACAAAATACATAATAACAAAATTTATGCAAAGGCTCAATCTTTCGAGTGATTTAAAGGAGTTACTTGGTCCCCAGTGTTTGTTTCGAAGAGCACTTTTCAGCTTTCTCAAATTTATTGATAGTTAATAAAATTATACAGAAAATTAAATTAAATACACTTTAGGAAAACTCGGAAATGTACAATAGTTGAAATGTTTTCCCCACCTTCCCAGGTTTGGGTAACACTGTGAGCAAAACTGATTTCAGAAAGAGAGATTGGCGCTGATGTTTTGCTTTGCACATTAATGTTTTTTTATTGCAAACTAACAACAATAAGAACTGATTTATAATTTGGTTAAATTCGATCTTCAACGGGTTAAATCACTAGGAGTAGATTTTGTCCTACAACTCTCTCAGCAAAATAGATTTATATATTTGTTTTACATTTAAAAAATTTCCACTCATTACGAAGTTAACTGTTAACTACGAGTTAACTGTTTCACTGTTTTTCCCTCCGTTCCATGTTTGGGCAACACAGTGGGCACTACTGATTCAGATATATTGGAACTTAATTTGATTGATTTGTAATTTTAATTTACACGTTTAATTGCTTATACGTGCGTTTAATTATTTATGGCTTACAGGAAAACAGCAATAGCTAAAACTTCGAATATATTTTTTTATGGTTTAGAATTTTTTATCCCCGATCTAGCTCCTTCAGTTTACAACGTGCATAGGCTGTGAATAGTGGTAATTTTTTGAATATTTTATGAAACATTTTGCTAACGATTTGTTATTGTTGTTAAATGTGTTATTTTATTACAAATTTTACATAATTTATAACGAATACTAAGAATCAAGGTGTAGTATTGATGAAAAAAGTAAATTCAGTTGTTTCTTCCAAGCTTTCGACCTATTTTAAGGTCATAATCAGGGCAAAACAATTTTAACAATGTCTACTTGTTGAGAGTGCCCAAATACGTGAAACACGACACCCAAGAATGGCACTATTACACAGAAAACAAACACTTTGAACCCTGAAGATGATCTCAATAAAGATCGAAACGTTGGTACGATAAAGAAAATGTTTTTCTAAAACCTACATCACACCAGACCGCATCTCACGATTTCTGAATAATAAGTCGAAAGCTTGGCAGTAATACCTGAATTTGCTTTTTTTCTTCAAGACCATATCTTGATCCATAGTGTTCGTGTGTGAAAAAGTAATCGATATTTCTAACATTGAAAACTGATAATATAAAACGCATAATTCTCGTTTTTCTTATTTTTTAATTTTTTTTAACAAGCTTATATTGCATTATATTTCTGTTTTCATATAAAAATAACTACTAAAATAGACATCCACACATTGTTCATCAACTGCTCATCAGATAAACATATAAAAATTTTAACAATGTAACATTAAATATATTGTGAAATATTGTGTTAAAACTGCGAGACGATTTAATTAGACAGTACTAATAGTAGTAATAAGCTAAAATATGATTTACCTATTTATTTGACAACTACGTGCGTAGATGAGTATTTTGTGTATTGTGGCACTTGGGATAAAGTTATATCGAAATCTGTCAGCACATGTGCTTGATTTTAACTGGCAGCTTTGAAAGGTTGAGGTCATTCAAGACTCCCTCGACAAATCTCGGAGACAATAACACTTTGAAACGGCTTGAAAATACTTTAGATAAAACTGTGAATTTTATCCATTTCAGTTATGAAACACTGAAATGTCAAGTGTAGTCAACGGGCCTGACCTATCTTTTGGGGGAGGGAAAAAACGATCCAGGACCACTCCTGTTGTCTGTGGACTCTCGACGTCCTTGGTCGTTCAATTGACCCGAAAGCAGTCAGAACCAATCAGGCGACTCAAATAACAATATGCTAGTGAATTTGCATACACGGGCTCGTGTCTGGGCTACAAGTGGTTTCCAAGCCAATTGGGCCATCGTGATAGAACGTCAGTAAAAACTATTGAAAGAATGGTTTCAAAATTAAAACTTGGTGCCTTTCAAACGTCCACTTTCAAAAAGCAAACGACAAATTTCATGAACAATGTAATTTTTTTCTATAAAAACAAACCAAAAAAACACATCAGTGACGTACAGTGGCTCTACAGTATAAAGGAATCGTCATCATTACCACCTGACAAGCTTAACAATTTTTTTATAATCTTTGTCTTTTTGAAAACTGTATTTCTTTTACAATTTATTTTTTAAGTGTATTAATATATTATGTTGGTTATAATATGCTGGTCAGATCCACCAGAAGGTAGTTTTGGGGATTTTCTGAATATGTTGAGAGATTTTTTAGAAAAATTACAACGAAGCAACCATAAACTTGGTAGTTTCTGGTCAAGTTCGTCTATTTTTGCTGTTTTAGTGTGTCAGATCCTCCATCTTCAGTGGTTGGTCAGGGTAACAAGCAGGGCGAGGCAAGGTCCTGATTCCTTACATTAGGCAAATTATCCCTTCTTCATGTGTTCTTATACGGCCTCAGGATCCTTTTATTTCTTCACCATTAACCAATTAACCAAACTTACGGAAAATACAAAATAAATTCTCTATTCATACAGGCAACTTGGATAAATAAAGGAGTCGTTGACTTGACTTACACTTCATATATCCCTGTTGTTTCTGGAGAATTTTATCTGACCTCTGTGTTAGGCTGCTTTTCTCACTGGCTTGCCTGCAAACGCGTTTTGTCTTACCAGAATATTCAGTGATTGGTCAGGGGAATAAGAAGGGAGAGGCAAGACACCGACACTTCTTATCACTGTTGAATTTAATCTATTCACTTTCCTAATTTTTATTTTCTCAATGGCTTTTCCCTTAGACAAATTTCGGTTTGTTGGACTATTCCGTGATTTCTCAGGATAATAGGTAGGGCGAGGCAAGACATCTATTCGGTTTAGTTGGACGAATTTTGCCTTAGCATGTCCTGGTTTATTCCGACAAAGAAGCCAGACAGGACTATGATCCTTTTAACTCTTCACATTTAACGAGCTTACAGAAGGGCAAAATAAAATTCTCACCATAAGCAACATGTGTATAAATAGAAGTATTCGTCGCCTTGCCTCACACTCCTTATAACCTTGACCAAACACCAGACATGGTTTGAGTTAAAGAGTCTCAGATCAGAACAGCAAAGATAGTCTGATCAAACTGATCGGAAGTGACCAAGGTACATATTCATCAAACTGAAAAATTCAACAGGAAATCTCACGATGCATATTTTATGTTTTATTTATATGAAGTCGATTTTTGTTATGTCTGCTTAGTTTTTCCGTCTATTTTTGCTATTTTGACCTGTCAGATGCTTTTCGACTTTTCGGTACCATCACGATCAGACAAGGCGACAAGCAGAGCGAGGCAGGACA